AAAAAAAAAAAAAAAAAAAAAAAAAAAAAAAAAAAAACTTATAGCCATCCTGAGGTGACCCAGTGGCCTTGTGGGTAGTGATCCCTGTATCCCTGGCATGGTATCAGAGGCTGGGCTGTCCCCTGTCTAGGGAAAGGGATGAGATAGAACAAAGCTCTCAGTCTGAGGTTCTATATTGGAAGTGCCTGCGACCACCAGAGACCACTGAGCCACCCTCTTTACCAGCCTGCCCCCTGCTGCAGAGAGCACAAGAAGCCTCCTGTCAGCCCCTGGGCACATGCTGGCCCCCAGCTTGGCCTCTTTGGCATCCTGCCCAGCCTGCTGCAGCCTTGAGCATCGAGTGTCCCCACCCACCTCCCGATCGCCCAGAGCTCACCACTGTCCTCGGAAGGATCTGCACTGGCTTGCACAAGGCACAGAGAGCAACTATCAGCCTTCACCATACCATCCACCAGCATCAGCGCACTGTACGGACTTTGCCACGACCCGTGGCCCAGGCCACCACCCGGGTTACCACAGTGCCTCCCAGCCATCCTCACAGTATCCAGGGGCTTGCTAGCCGCCTGCGGAGCTTCTTTGGCCTGTCCCATCGGGCACTCAGAGCAGTGCCACACCGCCGCCGTGCCCCCCGAGACTCCCCCACTTAAGCCCAGTGGCTCGACACTTTTTTTGCCCTCCTCTCTCCTTCACGGCCTCCCAGCTTAATGCGTCTTCCACAGCAGGGTAGGGGAAGCAGGGAGGTCCAGCAGGGTAGGGGCTCCCCATAGGGATTTGGGCAGAGCCCCTTGGGAAGACCCCCCAAGTCCCAGTCCCAGTGGATGCATCTCCAATCGCATCTCCGCCCTCACATGAGCCTAAGAGGCCCCTTACCAGCCCGGTCCAGGCTCTCCTCAGCTAGGCCTCTGGCAGCCCCAGGAGCCTCCCTTCTCTGTAGCTGCTGGCCCCATCTTGCAGCCAGACTCCCTGTCCTGGGCTCCAGCTATGTGGCCCTTGGGCATGGGCCCTTCCTCACAGACCTCTTTGCCCAAGAAGGAAGCTCTTCTCTCCCCTTGTGCTCTCCCATTTTCTCAGCCTGTGTCCCCACCCAATCCTTTCCCTGGGCCTCCTCCAGGAAAAGCCTGTGTGGCTGTCCCAATCCCTGGCAGATGTGCTGCCCAATAAACACTTGCTGAACAATCACGATTGCGAGCCCTTATTCCACGGCTAGCAGGCTGCACTGAGGCTCAGTTCCTCTTGGGGGCGCCAGGTTCCACTTCCTCCCACACTCAAGCATCCATGGGGTGGGGAGCGAGGCTCCATGGTCTAGTGAGGCCCCTGTGCCTCTGAGACCCAGCTCTCGGGGTCTCCTCACGCCCTACGTGTCTATCTCAGGGGTCTGCCCACCTCCCTTTGGGGCAGGCAGATGTGAGCATAGCCTCCCCACTCAGTCCCACCTTCCTCCTGGGTGACATCAACATCACCACCCCACCTCTGTTCCTTGACCTCTCAAGGGTTAGCTGCCAAGGCTATGGCTACCCCACACCTCACCACCACCATATCCCATCTCCAAACTGTTCTGTGTGGACTCTGCAGCTACCTGTTCCTTAAGCCCTTAGTCCTCTGCAGTTAATCTTCCCCCAGCAGGCATTGTCCTGGTTCTGGTCATTCATGATCAGGCTTTCTGCTCCCTGCCCCACTGTGCCTCTGGTTAGGCTGAGAGCCCAGGAGGGAATCAGGAGCCTGCTGCCTCCCTGCTGCCCCCTGGAGGTGAGATCTGTCAGAGAAAAGCCACCAGAGAGACAACTGCAAAGGACAGACTGCCTGCTGCCTCTGAGGACCTCTGGGTGCCCCGGATGCCACTCCCTCCTGCACTATGTGGCTGCTCCCTGGGTTTCATTGGACCATCACTATGTGCTGGTGAATGCACCTTCTGCTGCTGGGAGAAAACAAGTGCCTCCTGTGGCATGGGATCGTGGACATCTTGCCTAATTTTGGATTCACCTGTACCCATCCAGCCCTTCTCTTGTCATCTGCATCAGGTAGAAAGGACATCTGCCTGCCCCTGGCATTCATCCCTGTGTCCTGGTGCAGCCCTCATCCCTGGGAGCCTCTGTTTCTCCATCTCTCCTGCATCTTCTAATTCTGCTTCCTTCTCAACTGAACACCCTGAAAGATATCATCCTCTCCAGACCCTTGTGCCCCTTGATGCTTCATGCTGCCGCTTCCTCAAGACACCTATCTCTGCCCCTCTAGCTCCACGCCCCTGAGCACAGTATCTTGCTTAGTCCTGGGTGTCCTTGGCTGCACTCTGGATCCTCCCTCCACGCCTCTTCTCCACCGCTTTGGTCCTGGCCCTGTACTCTCTCCTGGTTCTCTCTGCTCTGGCCATGCCCTAGCTGCAGTTACTGTCCTGTTGCTCCTGCCTGATGGGTGTGGATCCAGGTACCTCAACCTCAGCCCCTCTTCCTCCTTCTCCAAGAATGGCTGCACCATCCATGTGATTACACAGGCAGGGTCCCAAGCCACCCATCCTGCTCCTATTAGTGGTACCCAGCCAATTTGGGAGCATCTTTTCATGCCTGCGTCCTCTGGTACCTGGGAACTGTCCATCCTGTGATTGTGATAAAGCTAAAGCTATCATGGACTGCAGAAGGAAAGGTGCCCAGAGCCTCATCGGACATCAGGACAGTGACACTGAGGAGCGGGGTGAGGGGCATGGGGTGAGTGGGGGCCACATCCAATCCCCAGCTGTCAACAAGGAGTCTGGAGGGGCTGTAGGGTTAATCGTGGGACAGGATGAGTACATTTTGGTCTATGGAAAAGTGCACAGCTAGAAGCTGGTGTTCACTTTAGCTGTGAGGGAGCAGAGGCCACTTCTTCTGTGTGAATTCCTTTGAGGTGCCTATAGACAATTAGCCATACCAGAATCCCAAGCATACAAAGTATTTTTTAAAAATGAATAGCTGTGTGCCCCTGGTGCATTGCTCGCCCACTTTCTGAGTCCCTTCAGACTGCTGGTCCCCTTAGGGAAGCCACAGCGCTCCCACTGCAAATTCCCACTCCCTGAGCTGGGGGACAAGGTGCTCCAGGCCACCTGGTCCCATGTGTTGCCTGCCCATGGCCTTTGTCAAGCCTCCGCTGAGAGCTGGTAGAAGGCTGGTCTGCTCAAGCAGTGCCTTTTCCAAGTGGCTCAGCACTTGGAGGGGCTGTGGCATGGACTTCCTCTGCGCCTGTTCTGTCTCTGTCTGTCCAGGGCTCAGGGAGAGACTTGGAGCAAGGAGGTTTGCTGTGTGGCACAGTGAGAGTCAGGGAGTGGAAAGTGAATCCCAGTCCTGCTTTTGGAATCCCTTGGTGAGGACTGTGCTTAAAATGGAACATCCATGGTGGGTGAGCAGAACCTGTAGCAGGGCCTGTCTGAGGATCCCAAGCTGAAGAAGATAGGTTCTCTCAGCCACTTTTGTGACAGATGCCCAGCTCCAGAGCCTTGGTAGCAGCTGGACCAAGTGGAAGCAGGAGAGGGCCCCACTGAGGAGGCCACCTTGGGAAGAAGTGACAGTGGTGACCATCCAGGAAGGGAGGCCAGTGGGAGCAGTTGGTCCTGGCAGGGAGCCAAGGTGCTGGTGAGTGTGCATATTAGAAAGTCTGGGTGCTCAGTGGAGAAGGTGGGCATAGTACCACCTGCAAGGAGCCACAGAGGGTACAGGCTAGCCAGTGATACATGTAGGCTGTCTCCTGGGCCTTTGTGACTTTGTAGAAGCTGGAGGTTTTGTGTCTGCAGGAATGGAGCTTAGTGTATCTTGTGTGCAGAGGCCTGGGCACTGAGAGGGCTCTCAGGAGCTTGGGGACTCTCACTGCACGTCACTGTCAGATGCTAGATATTGTCAGGAGGTGGATGCTGACCACCAAAGAGGGCTACTTGGCTGATGACTAAACATGGGACTGATCCACAGGGAGGACAATGGTTCCCATGCCTGCCTGGGCACTGAGGAGTTTCAGCAACTGTGCATCCCTGGGTCCTACCCCCGGAGATTCTGATTCTATGATATAGCCTCAGCTTCCAGAGGTTTTTAGTGCTACTAACATCAGGTTATGTGAATGAGGCCTGAGTGGAGGTGATGTTGCCTACAGGGTGTAGTACAGCAAGGGACAAGAGAGCCTAGATGCCCTGGTAAATCTCCCAGGCTTTGGGAAGCTGGCTCCATTTCCAGTTAGCACTTGCTGTGCACACACCTAGGGCCACTGTCGGGCTGCTGTGTTGAGCTGGGCTGCAGTTGACTGGCTCAGGCCGTGGGGTCTGTGATGGAAATGGGTGAGGTGGACATAGCTGGTCAGCCAGAACGCATGTGTGTTAGTTCACCACCTCCTGGATCCCTCATGGCTCTGTCAGCTTGCTTTTAGAGAAGCACAGCCCAGGAACCCAACCTAACAGAGTGACCCATTCCAGTGTTTAGTTGCCTCTTTCTGAGACTATCAAAGATAACCCAGCTCAAAACCCATACCAGCACTCTTCAATTCCAAGCCCCTATACTGAGCTCTCAGGATTTCCTGCTCCTTTGATCCTCAGACCTCCTCCCCTTCCCCCTCCCCC